TCTAATAGACCTGGAATACATCTGTAACTGTAAATCTGATGAAAATAAACTAATAAACAATAGTTATTACACAAAATGTTCACTTTTATTGGGAGTTTTCTTCAAAACACTATTTCTGTCCATACAATTACGTTCCAAATAACATAAACCTTCCAAAACATTGAAATATTGATGAAAACAGTGAATATGGATGAACATTCCTGTGACCAAAAGCACTCACATGCTTTACAGGCCTACAAGTTGATATCCTACAGGGCTGTAAGTGGACTCTTTCTGTTCGTATTGAGCAGATGAATCGTTTGGTATATTTATCTATTTATATTTGGTATGTCTGTGTAACTACTGCAAGTTGGACATTAAAGGCCGTCTCTCCCAAAGCAACACTTTTTGTCTCCTTCCTTTTGACGAGAGAAACGATACTTAATGGTGCTTTCAGACAAAAAGCGAAGCGAGCGTTTGGGGCGGTGAGTTTACATACAAAGTCAATGCAAAGACCCGTAGAGCCGCGATTTCCTGTCGGGCGGCGCGAAGGGGTGGGGCTGGCGACGTGAAGGCAACGCGAAGGAATTCGTGTGAGTTGAGTCGCAATAGCCTATCAGTGTTGAGATTGTCCTACCTGGTGAGTTCAGAAAACATGTGTCTGTAACTTTATTCCAGCTATCATTGTACTTTACTGTCACCAAGTTAGCATAGAATAGCCCTGATCTGACAAAGCATGAATTCATATGTTTAACAAATCTGCATCATGTTGTAGTTATTTCAGCATCAGTTTAATCCGTTTATTGCTATTTAATCACAGCAAAATGTTTACTTTGGGTTCATACAGTTGTAGTAATGGCGAGTTGTTTAGTCACATTATCACGTTAAAATAGCCTTCTCATATGCAGCGAATGTACTCACGTGAGGAAAGTGTCGTTTGCAAATATTCACTCACTTTGAATTTGATGCCTGCAACACATTCCAAAAAAGCTGGGACAGGGGCAACAAAAGACTGGGAAAGTTGAGGAATGCTCAAAAAAACCTGTTTGGAACATTCCACAGGTGAACTGGTTAATTGAAAACAGGTGAGTGTCATGATTGGGTATAAAAGGAGCATCTCCGAAAGGCGCAGTCATTCACAAGCAAGGATGGGGCGAGGTTCACCACTTTGTGAACCTCGCCCTGACTGTCAGAGGCCCCAAAAAATAATTATAAACTAATATCAAATTATATTATATTATACATTAGATAAACCATCATCGCTGAGTATAAATATATTTAAAATAATAATAATAAAATAAATCATCTCTTTGTTTTTACTTGTTTTTGGCAGTAAAAGTAAAAAAAAAAAATCCCAACTGACCAAAAAGTAAACCTAAATATTGACCGACCACCCCCCTGTATCTGCAAGAAATGGTTTGGTCCTGCCTTAGCGCACTCATCAGTGATGGTGTTTAGTTGCAGTCAGTAGATGCGCCAGAAACACAGTGCTCACAATGTTGCCTAGTAAACCAAACTCTGGTTTTCAAAAAAGGAAAGAGAGAAAAGAGAGAGAGGAAAGACAAAGGAAAGGATGTCAATCTGTAACCCAGTTTTTCCCCAAGACAGGTGGGCAGCCTTTAGTCTGTAAGTGGTGTTAACCTGTTGGCTTAATGTCCACAGTGAAATAAGATAGCTAGCTACAGACTATTTAACATTTAATCAGTGCAGGGAAACGTTTAACAAGAAGTTCATATTAAATCATTGTCCCTGCCCCTTTTAGCAGACTAACAGATGAGTCAGCAGCACCCCAGTCTCCCTGTCCCAGTGAAGATGAGCAACAGTGTGTGAATGACAGGCCAGTTAGCATCATTCCAGGGAGGCTGTGGGGATTTCTCTGTCTCTCTTGCTCTTTTTACCATAACAAAAAAGAAAAAGAAATGTTTTTTAATGACAGAAATTCAAACACAAATTATTTTCTCACATAATGATCATTATGAAAAAAAAAAAAACTTCTTGTCTGTACTGGAGGCTGGACAGCAGTTTACCTTTTAATCTGGATTAAAATAATCCAGGTTGATACGATCATTTGATTGTAGAGAGCTTTACCATAAGAGTGGAAGCTGACCTTGAGACAGTCACTGCTCACGGCATCTCCCATCCAGACAAGACCAAAAGTCATTGCAAATGATGAGACTGAACCAGGAACAGAGTAAAGGGAGTGGAGATAAGAGGTAAACTAACCCAGGTCAGCCCTAAGGCTATTCCACTAACGAGCTAACTCCTGGCTAATGTCCGCTAACAGGAAAATATAATGGATGAAATACGATTTAGGCTAACTCAGCAGCGAGAAATCAGAGACTGCTGTGCCCTCATCTTTATTCAGATTTGGCTACACCACAACTGAAAGTCGACAGAATGCAAGACTCCAGTAAGACCAGGTGTCTGTACTACGTAGCAGGATTTAAGGTTAGAAAGGTAACCAGATTTAACCCTGCGTTTTCAGTCCTACGCTGGTGGTTCACTTCTTACCTGGTACACAGCCATGGTAACTTATGCCTATTGTCTAACCTGCACTGGAGCTGTTTGAGATTATGTTTGAGATAAGAGATGAACGCTATAAAAGCACTGCCTCCTGACCAATTATTTCCTTTGGAAAATGGCTTCACGATTCCTAGAAGATCCTGCAGACTATTTTATAAGTTACTTTTATGTATGGTTGTATGCTGGTATCATCCTACAACAGGGACTGACTGAAGCACTAATGCCTTGTACTTGTACTTTTACGATATGAAAGTAAGCCTACTTAGCGTTTATTTGCTTCCAAGTACGTTTCACACATCCTGTTGCAGCTGTTAAAATAAATGGTTTTCATGTAGTGTTTTTACTATTTGGACACAGATGAGTTTTCATAAAATGTTAGGAACTTGAGACGTGGTTGAAACTACTATTTGAGCACATTTTATTGCATTCAATTCAAGGAGAGGGAGTTTTCATTATGAAATAGACTTTTACTTAGACAACAATACATACAATGTTTCTTTTTGTTGTTTTAAGAGTGAGTATTTGGTTTAAAAGAATATTTGGTTATCATTGCTTATATTATGTTTGGGATGAACATGATTATTGCTTGCTTCCAAGGCCTGGCCCTCTGTCCAGCGACATGGGCCCTCAGCTTTCCCCTTTCCCCCACTAAGGGATGGGTTGGCCCATAGCACACACCAGATTTATCAAACAGAAAAATCAGTTGAGGTACAGTACAGGGGACATCCTGATCCAGGCAGCAGATGTGAACAAATTGCTGCTTTTCTGGAGGGTTAACACACATCGACAAAGGGGAAATGGGACAGTGGTATATCCTGAAAACCTACACCATCAAGATGATGCTGGTGTGCAGGGCTTACACAGAAAACAATAGGCATAGGTGTTGACCTTGTCAGTGTGTGTTGTTCTAAGAGACTGTCCTCCACGTAAAATCAGCTGGTTGTGATGTGATGTTAAAAGATAATACAGTACATTCATAACCCTAGACCTCCAATGATGCACTTAGCTCCTTTCTCCTCCTCTCCCTCTCCATCTGTATGGATTCTTATACCCGTAATGCATGTAACTAACTGATCTTTTTGCTTCTCCTATAGTTTTGTGCTTTCTCGTCCTTCTCCTCTTCTTCGATCCCTTTCCGCGGGTGTGTCTGGATCAGGAGCTGTGGGGTCTGGGTCTGTGGTTGCGGGCTTCCAGCTGCCCCCATGTTCCTGCTCAACACCTGTTGCTACAATTATCATTATTAGTCAGATTAATATTATCATTAAAATTGTTATTGTTATAATTATTATTCATTTTTATTCATGTCTCTACCACTAATACCTTTACTGTTTTGCTTTTACTGTGTTGATATTACGTTGGGCTTCTTCTCTCTCGCTCTCTTCCTCTGGCTCCTTCTATCTTATCAATTCTGAAGAGTGGTTTATTACAGTTATTTCATTCTTTATTGATAACTTTGGGAGGTAAAAGTATTGATCAGCGATCTGCACTCTGGTCTTAAGATCCTGAGATTGATTACTTTTGTCTCTTCTCACATACCTGTGGAAGTTACATTATTTTCGTCATTAGAGTGAAGTTCTTGCTGAGGAAACATCAATTTCAAAAAAACCCAACATATTTTCATGTAAAGGACAAGGATCTCCAGCAGCCATGTGAATGATGACTCTTGTCTATTAGACGTTCACGACGTATTCATTTTGCCATTTAATATGGAGGACTTGTTGGTTCTTAAGGTGAAAAAACATGTGCTGTAAAGTGATTTAAGCATTTATTTCAACAGAACGAGGTTTATTACAGTAAAGTTCATGTAAACCATGTGTATTTAAAGATGGTGCAGGATTTCTTCCTCACCCCCTGACCAGCATGCTGCCCCTGGTGGCGGGATCAGAGCCACTGAGATGAGTCAGGGTGAAATCCATTGCTTTTCAAAGTACTAGTGTTGCTGAAGCTTCTATGCTCCTATAGAGTGCAGACTGCTCAAGGTCAAATGAAATAAAATCAATAAAAAGAAATGTATTATCATAAGACCCTCAGAATGGACGTCAAATGAACATCATTCAATTATCATGACCTACCATATAACATTTTCACACAGACAATACATAAGTCAGGGCAATGTGTCCAAAATAGCCTGGAGGCAGCCATATTCATGCACCTGCTCTATTCATTAAGGGACAGATAGATGAAGCATTACTTGAAGGCCAGCATCCAAAAACAATATACTTGATTAACAGAAGATGACAAGGGTTGTAGATGTGTGTGTGTGTGTGTGAGGAATAATCACCAAATGACAAGCCACTTAAACAGGCAAGTTATGTTTAAAAGAAATGTGGGAGGTCTGTATTGCCTGGGTCTGTCACAGCACCCTGCCTGGCCCTTATAAACCACTCAGCGTGAAACACAACACAAGGTGGGTTTTCCCCATTCATGATGACGCCAGCACTCCAGCACTGTATCATCTTTGCTTTTGGTCATTCAGCCACCTGCAGGAACATTTTACAACCATCATCTTGCCTGTTGCCTCTGTTCCCAAAATAACCAAGCACCATCATCATCAGCCCCCCCCCTTCCGCCGCCACATGGTTACAGTTAAGTAGGCTACATAAATCAGGCGCCACCGCTGGTGTGAGCTTGTAGAGGCAGACGGGAGGCACACATGCACCTCACACCGCCGCGGCTCGTCGCTGCTACTGCAGCCGGTGCAGCGAAGGAGACTCACGGCTTTTTTCCATCACACAGAGGCGGAATGGCTTGAGAGCAGACAACACGGACTCGTTTCGATCGGCTGATGCACGATGATTTTTTGACTGTGGGCCTGTCTGTGTGTGTTCATCCGTCTTGCCACGAATTGCTGCAGTGCTGTTTTTTTTTTCCTCCAGGTGTTGAGGTGTGTGTGTGTGTGTGTGTGTGTGTGTGTGTGTGTGTGAGTGTGTGTGTGTGTATGCGTGCGTGTGTGTGTGTGCGCGCGTGTGTGTGTGCGTGTGGGTGCATGGTGGTGATGTTGTAGCCCGGTGTAATTCTCTTACGAATTGGACTAAGCCGGAGAACGGAGTCTGATGTCACATGTGCTTCATAGGAGGAGACGGGGCATCTGCAAGCTGGATTTTGTGGAGGATGCTGCGGCAAGTGATACACAGATGGCTCAAGGCTTCGTTCTACTGGCTGGGCTTATTCGTTAGCAGGCACCCCGTTTTTTTCCTCACTGTCCCCGCGGTCCTCACCATCATTTTCGGATCTACCGTGCTGAGCCGATTCAAGCCGGAGACGGACCTGGAGGTGCTGGTCGCCCCTACTCACAGCCTCGCCAAGATCGAGCGGAGTCTCGCCAACAGCCTGTTTCCCATCGACCAGTCGAAGCACAAGCTGTACTCGGATTTGCACACCCCGGGCAGATATGGCAGGCTGATCCTGCTGGCCAAGTCCGGGGGGAACATCCTGGAGCTGGCCGATCAGGTCCTACAGGTTCACAAGCAGGTGTTGGATTTTCGCGTCAATTACAAGGGATTCAATTACACGTTCGCGCACCTCTGCGTCTTGAGCCACAGGGACAAGCGCTGCCTCTTGGATGATATCATCACCATCTTCGAAGAAATCAGACTGGCCGTGCTTTCCAACAGCACCTTCCATAAGGTGCCCGTGAGCTATCCAAACACAACCTTAAAGGTGAGATTTGACCGCACACTGCAGCTCGTCCTAACACGCATGTCAGCCAGGCCTGCACACACTAGCCTATCCCCCAAAACCTCCCAGTCAGAGCACAGTGTGGTGACAGTGCAGCAGCAGCAATGAGCATGTGAATAGCTTGTGGCAGGCTGGCCCTCAGAGCTTGCCATAATTTCTGAATGAACGCAGCGGGCTTGTATTCACTCAGGCTGTGATGTGGGGCTGCAGATTGCTACATAAATCAGCCAGAGAGGGAATCCTCTCCATAATACAGCCGGGTTTGCAGTTTTCCCCCTCCCTTGCTGGTGCAGGTGAATTGATTGGTTGCATGTAGCCCCTCACTGCCCTGCTCTCTATTCTTACACACAAACTCTCTCTCTCTCTCACATACACAGGGATACCCTGCCTTTTTGATGCAGTGTTTCCCTCTTGCCTTCTCCTGGCTGCACGTGCGGCATGATGTGGCTACAGCAGCTAATAGGCTTCCAGGTGTGCTGTTTGCCTGGCTCTTCCGCTCAGTTGCTCAGTGAGAACGGATCAGTCACATGCAAGTTGCTGGCAGCAGTTAACATTCAACAAGACACGCCAAGATGCTGCATGTAGACATACAGGGGCACTTTCAGTAGGCCCGCAAATACATCAAGTACAGATGTACTCTGCAGATGGAACCTAGTGCTATTTGTCTGATCAGGTGTTCGGGAGCATGTGAGGCTTTTAGAATGAAAATATGTTTTTCACGTGTTTACACCCATTGTCACACACAAGGCAAGTACAGTACAAGGTTATGGGTTTATTTTGAATTTGCTCATGATGTGGGTTAATTGTGAAGGGATAAGGAATTTGCATCATTTTGAATGAACCTATGGCCTTGAGGTGCGTACAGGTCTGATAGAAAATGGACACATAAAGTCACTGTAACAACCAGCTTATTCAACACAATTAGATTGTGAGATAAACGCCACAGCACGCTGCCTTTTCTGTATATTCCAAACACATACTGTAGGCTCAAACTGACAAAGCACATCTTTAATGTATCTTAAGCCTGGTCTCCAGAATAGCAGATTGTAACTTTCAGTGAGAGCTGCCACAGCAGTGTGAGCTATCCAGGCAGCATCAGTGTCTGCATGGAGTAGGAGGACATTTATCGTCCTGTTGCCAACTGTTTGGCTCCTAATATTAAGGATAAGGGACACGTGGTATATTCTCGTTTTGGATGATGAGTGTGAGTCAAATATGGGTCCCTAAAGAGCCTGTTTATTCATTTTATACTAAATATATGAAAAACATTGCTAACCAGTGAAAACCATGTAACTTCAAATTTGGAAGTTTTCCAGATAAAGTAAAAGATTAAGTGTTCATGTGTTGAGAACATTCTACCTCTTAACATAAATAAACTATTTGAAAACACAGTTAGAAAAACGGAAACTACCTGCATGGTTATATAATGGATGGAAGTGAGTTTATTGATTACTTGATAGACAGAAAATGAATCAGAAATACAATTTTGCTAAAAACTATCAAAATTTCTTGAAAAGACCCCCCCCCCACCCCCCGAGACTCCATGATACGATATTATCACGATACTTATGTCACGATACGATATTATTTCGATTTTAAACATATTGCGATGTATTGGTATAACATTACTTTTTTCCAGCTTTGAATTGTGTCCCCAACTCTTTTTCTAGTGGACTGAAAAAGCAATAGATTTTATTATTATAGTTCCAAAAAAGTTACATTTTTCATGTACAATTTGTATAATAAAAGACTGATACTTGGGCTCTGTGTATAGTACAGTATTGCCATGGAAAATATTGCATTACCAAGCTGTAGCTGTAGTGTTCTCTGCTCCAATAATCAATAGCCTACAAGTGAGGTTTTTTTTTTGTAATTTGGGTGAACTGTCCCTTTAAGTCTTGATGTATGTACATGCTAATATGCACTTTTCATACAGTATGCAGTACGCATGCACATACTCAGGCACACTCACATTATCATTAACATGAATTACAGTTTTCCTGTTCTTGAAGGTTGATTTGACCTCCTTCCTCCCCAGCTCTCCTCACTCTATCAGGCACTCTCCATGTTCCTGGATCCTTCTCCTCTCTGTCTGCCTGTTTGACGAGCTGTCTGTGGTAATTTATTTGCCTGACTTCTTGTGCCTCATCCCCCTCTTTGATGTCACAACCAGGGTTTATTTCTGTGCTTGTTATACAGACGTAGTCTTTGTAAAAAGACTTTTTGCTGAGCTGAACTTTAGCTCTTTTCCCAGGAGAAAGTGCTTTAAATATATAGTCTTTGTTTTGCTCTGCTGTATTTTCAGTTGTGTAATCTTTTTACACTGTCAGGTATTACAGAAATAAAAATACATCAAGGAGTACATTAAAAAAGATAAAGCAAATGGGGCTACGTGAACAATTGGACAATTCCAACAAAGGAAAAGTAAAACTGTGAGAAATCAGTCAGCTCTGGTGGTGATGTGGTTTCATCATGCATTTACATCACCAGCAACCACATCACCATGCTAATGTCTGAGCTTGTTGATTGCTGGTTAGAATGCCCATATTGTTAGAACAACTTATTGGACATACGGCAATGCTGGTATGTGATTATCTGCTGATAGCACAGTTTGTCCCAGGTTATACAACTCTGACAAATATACATCTGTTTTCCAGTTGCCCAAATGTTATGGACCAGAATCCACAACTGTTATTACAAGATCTCAACTGTAATTAGCTCATGGTCAAGTCCATGAGCTAATTACAGTTTCAGTTTTAAGGCTGTTCTCGCCGAAAAATCAACTGCATCAGCTGTTTAAGAACAGTTAAAATTGAGTTTAAAAGTGTTCAATAATAATGTATTACACACAATATAAACAAACATCTTAATAAGGATCCTTCAGTGGACTTTTTAACCATGCTAGCGGCAGTGTTGGTTGGTCAGTCCACCACTTTGGACAAACTTGAAATATCTCAACAACTATATGATGGACAGCCATGAAACTTGGCACAGACATTCGTCTTCATATTTTTAGCTTTTAGTAAGAGTCAATTATTCAATGGATTGCCATGAAGCGGACTTAAACGGTTACCATGGCTATAGACACACAATGGATGTCTTATGAGACGTTCATATGTATGGCCCTCTAAAATCTGTGGATTATGCGGTCCAGACCAACACCAACATGAACCTTTCGTTGCTCCATGATGTAAGATATCCAGGTAGAAATTTGAAGGGATTTGTTGTCTTTTCTATCCACCAACTGTATCACCAATAGTCAAATGACCTTTCCACCACATGGCCTTTTTTAAACAATTTCTGGACCGTTTGAGTTTTTCATTTTTAAATGCAAACCGGACCAGTCGGAAAAATTTAAACAATGTATCATCCTTGTATTGGTTCGATTCAGAAAACAGAACTTGAGTTGGGAACCCGCCCTAAAATCCCGTCATTAGAGAGTTTGAGCTTTTAGGGAGGGTAGAGAGCACTGGATTTATTACACAAGACAACACGAGAGCAGCATTAAGACACGAAATGTGGCACAATGAGCATTATATCTTGATAATCCTGTTGTCATAATTGTTGGAAGCCAAAATTGTAACTGAAAATAAAATTGAAATAATTACACAGCCCTACTCTTAAGTTTCTCTTGTCAAATGAAGAGCAAATGGTAATTTATTTCAATATTAAAACAAAGAGGTACAATCTAATTCTGCCTGTGTCAGACCTTTATTTGTGTCTGATTTCCTGGGCTCTTCTGATATCATCTTTTCTATCAGGTTAAGCCAAACCTGTGTGGACATTTAAGCAACATTAAAAAGACATTCCATTTTGGACTTGACTAATAATCAGACTGAATTTCCAGTTTACATTATTAGTCTAGTGTTATTAGTAATCTATTAGTAGTCTGATTATTTTGTTCATGTGAGCTGTTTGGTTTTAGGTTCGTTATTTTTGGGATTGTTATTTTTCCCTAATACCTTTCCCTTCAAAGTCACTTTCGGTCAACAGAGAAGCTGTAGCTGTTGCTTGGAACACCCAATAATTTCACATTGATCTCAGATATATGCTTACTTGCCATTTTCATGTACATTTTCTGTTCTGGGACAAGTAGATACAGACCTATTTGAATCACCTCAAAACCAGAAAACAAACATATTTACCTGACAGGTGGAGAATGTTTGATATCTTCTGTTTAGAGCCACACATGCAGGGGTAAGAATATCTTAAAATAGAATGATTTAATCAATATCTTAAGGTAATGTTTCAGCCCATTGTCTTTAGATACCCGTTTGATATCTTAAGATAATGAGATACTTAAGTTGTCATCTTGTGATAATGAGGGACCTTATAAAAGAGCAAGTCTGGCTGCTCTGGGCTGCCATAAATAAAAGCTCCGATGGTCACAATGGAACAAGGCAGAGGTGTGCTATTACTGTGTTACATTTATTCTAACACTAATAATATTGTGTTTGACAAGATCAAGCTTAGAGGACAGTGAATTTGAGCACTGGATTGAATTAAGTTATTGGGTAGTTTGGGTTGTAGGCATGGCAATGTCGAGCTAAGGTCAGTGTTTGTTTAACACCCCCAGTGTTTTTAATATATCATAAAACTGGAGGTGAGCGCGGCAGTAAAGCAGAAGGAGGCCTGTAACAGTTGAAATGCAGCAGGAGAGGGGATGCGATAGGAGGATGGGAGAGCAGACTAGGGACAGGAATTAGCTGATGGGGTTAGCTATAGGTGTGCCAATAATTGGCTTGCCCTAGGGTACGTTTAGAAACATGGCAATAAAAAAACAGTCAGTACTGTTCTCAGATGTCTCCTGAAACTGCATTAAAATCCTTAATGAAGTCTTTTAGCATAAAACTGATTTTTTGATAGTTATAATTTGCTTGGAGTCATTAAGACTACACCTGAATTTGTAAAAATGAAAAGTATGATCATATCATTGTAATACAATATCACTGAAATAATTGAATAAGATTGAATTATTGCCCAGTAGATAGATTGGTTGATGGATGGATGTGAGGATGCGTCCTATTCTATGTGTAAGAAACCTGATTTTACATGCTGATCATCAACATCAAACATGTGTATCTACTAGGTTTTAGGTTTCAAGATTTAGCAGGGTACTCCTATCATTTGTTGTACTTCCATTAAATTGGCAGACTTGCAAGAGACAGATTTTTTTTGGCGACACAGTCAAATCGAAGCAGTGAATGCTGCAAATCCTGATTGTTAAGCTGGATTTATATTTGATGCACGGCATTACCTCTACTGCCGCAGTAAAACTCTATTGCAAGGGTTTTTAAATATTTAGCTAAGGCTTCTCCCGCTGAAGTATCATTACATGATGAAAACGATGAAATGGTAATTTTGTGCAAAAACATATTCGAAAGATCAGCAGAAATGAATGTGAAGCTTCAGCAATCGGAGTTAGACAAATCAAGTAGATATATTTTAACGTTCAGACAGCTGAAGTCTCATTTTAGTTTCAGGTCCTCCTTCACTTACATTGAAGTTGCATTAGGAAGGGATCGCTTTGCTGCCAATATTATTATTATAATTATTCAGCATTGAAGGGCATGTATGAGTTTCAACAGAGTCATGTACTGGATTAGTGTGGGATGATATAATTAAGTGTGTTGTGACTATTGAGATTATCTTGAAATGCTTTAGTGAAGTTGAAAAGTCAGTGTGATAGATTGATTTGTGCTTTGTGCATTTACACAAGTGAAATTAGAGCTAAAGCTTTCCCAGTTCCCTTAGCAATTACTGAGTGATTACATTACATAAACACACTTGTACACTGGCATGAAATAACAAATTTGAAGCCGTGAGTAGGATTGCTTTGAGAGTAACAACGTGGCACAAAAATAATGTATCTGGAAAGAAAAACGGTCTGAATGTTATCAATGATGTGACTTTAAGGTGCAGTGTACACCACCACTAATGTTTTCCTGCTGTCCACATAATGTCATAACAGAATAACCCATCTGTTTATTTTTTATCACAGAAGTAAATTGTTTAAAGAAACTGAAGCAAAGAATCACTGGATTTATTTATGTACAATCACGCTTCTTCATATCCAGAAGTGTGAGATTTCTGTCGAGCTCCCTGCTGTGAAACAGCATATTGTGGATGTTTGGTTGTGTTGGATTATTGTGTTCATACGATAAATCACATCTACAATAAGCTGCACATTACTTTGGTTGCAACAACAAACCAGTGTCACGCAGGAGTTCAGTTTACATCACAATGTTGTGTGGGTGTGTGTCTTGCTTTTCTGATTAAATGGACTGGGGAAATATTCATATGTCAGTGTTTTAAGATATTCTAAAATTAGACCTGGTGAATAAGCATTTAGCTTTGATATATGAGCATGTTTGCATTAATCAGGAAATCCAGAAAACGCACAGTATTTTTAAATTAGTATTACACATAAAGCTAAAGCTTGTGGAATTACATTAAAATAAAGGACTAATTCTGTAAATGCCTTGGTTGTGTGTTCAGTAGGTGACCGAACAAATGTTTAACCATGAATCCTCAAGCTGAACTGTATCACTGCATTTCAGGATGGGTTTTTATGTGTGCAATTTTCAGCTTAGCCATGATCCAGTAGCTTAATTGATTCCTGGTTTAACATTTACCCCATGTACAAAAAACCAGAAAAACTTTTTTACAGACATGCAGTTAATTAGCTATCACATTTATAAACAGTGCTTTGGATTTATATTGTTACAGTTTGGTCCCAGGAACAGACATAGAACACAATGGGGGGTTGTTTAAGATTAAAGTATTTAACAGTGAAGGCCCTAACTGCGATTAGCCAACAGTGAAGCTTTCGAAGCAGAAAGAAACTTACTTAAAATCCAAGAGGGAAAAATGCCTGTCAAATGAACTGTGGACTGATCTTTGTTTAACGGGTCCATTTGCTTAACTTCACTGCATCTTCACCTGTTTTCTGGGTGCAGCTGGGTGACATATATACGGTGGCAAGTCGTAATCCTTAATTCCAGTCTTTGAAAGGTACAAGAAATTCTTATGCATTTTTTAGTGTTTTAGTTTGTGTCAGACCTTACATAAGACATCCATTGGTCACCGTCTTCTTCTGCTGTACTCCTTTTTTTTTTATTGCTGCTAACAGACCACTTCGAAATATGAATAATTTAAACGTGTGGCATAATGTACATCTACAGGGCTATCTCTGCAACACTTTCAGCTTAAATATGAGAAAGGTTGTGCCAGCAACGTGATATTGCTATAGTTCTGTCTTTCTTCCTGACAGATTGACAGATTTTTATTGTCCCAGCTGCCTCACTGAACGCTTCATGGCTCTTCACAACTGTTATTGCACAATTACATAATCTTTTCATTCTTGTCACTGTAATGTCTTGCATGTGCACTATAATTGGTCATTACAATGGAGTAGCACTACAACTTTCACAACCACTTCTGTCCGCAGCTGTAATGTGAGTTAGAGGTAAATCAACACTGAAGCAAATAGGGCAGAAACCTGCTGATGCACTGCTCTCTGTGGGACAGAGCGTTCTAGTATGTTGTACAGCTGGCCGCTCCCTGATGGTGTCAAAGAAAGTGTTGCACTGTCACATGGAACATGTTCGCAAGTCACTGGGGTCTGGTCAGGAGAATTGAAAAGGGGTCGAATGGTGTTTTTTATGAAAATTGCGATTCATTAGATCTAATGTCAGATATCTCTGAATCCTCTACAGGATGGCCGTGTGTCCTTTATCGGCCACCAGCTGGGTGGCGTGTCTTTCTCGGCCAACAGCCGTGACCAGCAGGTCAAATTCGCCCGTGCTGTCCAGATCACCTACTACCTCCGCAACCACGGACCCGTGGTGCAGGATGCCATCGCAGAACGTTGGGAGAATGAGTTCTGCGCCCTGGTCAGACGGCTGTCCACGGCCGAGGCACCCCATGCGTCTGACCAGCTCCACATCTTGTCACTCACCTCCTTCAGCCTGTGGCGGGACTTTCACCAGACGGGCGTGCTGGCTAAAGGGGAAGTGCTGGTCAGCCTGGTGCTAGTGCTCCTTGCCGCAACCATCTCCAGCTCCATGCGGGACTGCCTGAGGGGGAAGCCGTTCCTGGGCCTCTTAGGCGTGCTAACCATCTGCATCGCCAACGTCACAGCTGCAGGGATCTTCTTTATATCGGATGGGAAGTTCAACTCTACGCTGCTGGGGATCCCATTCTTTGCCATGGGTGAGTGGGACTGTTTTGTATGTGTGTGTCTGTAGTGGTTGGTCAGGGAGGTAACCGGATTGACCCTCAGATCAGGTTGATTGGGGAAGGGATTGTTACAAACTTCTCCTAATTGTTGCAAAAAAGGCAGAGTGGTGCATGCATGTCCACACACCTTCTTATGTATATCAGGCAAATTGACATGTTCCAACATTCAATTGTTGTGCGCAGTTTTTCATTATTTCACTGCGCTTCAAATGAGGTTGTCCTCAGTCTAGAGGTTTTAACAATAAACTCTATAACAGTGTACTGTATCAACCATTAGGAGCAACAAAAGGCTAACACACATCAGGACACATGAGTTCTGTGTAGAAAAACAACAGCTGGAATTAATCATGGATCTACATGAATTTAGATTTGTTTCAAATTTACCCACTAAGATTGGACACAGTTTGTGTAGAAACTGGTTGTTTTGCAAAGACATAATGTTAAGTGCTGTGTATATGGTAGGCTAGGCCAGAAAAAATGTGCTTTGTGCATAAACATGGGAAACGTGGGGTGAGATGAAAGGGTATGACTAGAATCATATTGGGGGCGTTGCGGTTGTATGGTAACCACTAGGCCACCAGAACATTGAGGTTTCCGTCGTCTCATAACAAAGTCAATACAAAGAGCAGATGCAAAAATTAGTGAATTAGCTGTAGGGGGTACAAATGGAGAAAAATATTTGTCTGTTTTAATTAAAAATGGTTCCACTTGAGTGAAACATTATGATTTCTGAACACACAAAGACAAGAAGGAAAGAAACCAAAGGAAAATAACAGAACTGATCAACAAAACACAGGTACAAGCACACTCTAGTCAGTGCATACTTCTATCTATCTATCTAGTAGGGGTGTCTATTTTTGTCTCTCAGGTTGTTAATGTAGATAGAGATTCTTTTGTAACAATACGATACATTGCTAATCGAAGTGGATTTAATTTGGCCTTAATCAGGAATTTCACTTTTTTTTTACCTCTTAAGCCCGAGTCCTTACCCCAGGAAACAACACCTAAAAACAGACATACTGCATTCGGTACTTAGTATCGCTTACGCCGTTTCTCTTCTTCGGCCTCCTTTTCTTACTCTCTTTGTTTCTTCAGATATACTTTGTCCATTTTCCCCACTACAGTATATATTGCATTTCCTCTCTGTGCGCTCCTAAGGTCACTGGATCCCTAGGGGTTTGGCACAGCTCTGCTGCAGGCTGGCTGACATAACTAAAGTTTAAGTAAGACTCCGGAACAGGAGGCTCCTTGTGACCTGGAGGCAGGGGAGGGGGGGGTGGGGTGGTGAGAGAGGCTAAAAAGGAAAGTCAGCGAGAAAACAGCAAGGAGAAAAATGTATGTGATGTATAGGAAAGAACAAAAGGAGGGTGTAGAGGAGGAGGGGACAGGCAGACAGAGGGAAGAGGTAGAGAGAATGTCACATAGAGAGGAAGGAGGTGGAGAAGGGCAATGAAGCTGGAGAAGGGCAAAGGAGCTGGAGAGGACTTGATTAAGCGCGTAATTTTATATAACACGACTTCAGAGGCAGTAGATGTCCACTCTTGGGAGGTCCTGCCTGAGACATACCCATATTACTATGTGTGCTTTCACACCTAACCTGTTTGGTTAAAACAAATCCTGGTGCGTTTTCCCAGTCAGTACGGTTTGTTTGGGCTGATGTGAAAGCTGCCAATTGAACTCTGGTGGGGACCAAACAACTGCCACCTTTTTGGTCTCAGTCCGCTTCCAAGCTGACTCTGGTAAAAGCAAATGAACCAACGACGGGGTTTATTGATAGCAGATATGTGATCTGTGTATTATTTCAAAACTAATTTCTAAACCACTAATTAATCCATCTGCTGATCGTGAAATGTGTTCAGGAAGCGATCTTATAATTGATCTGTATAAGCCATTTATAGGCACATTTTATGCAAATCATTTGGTAACCACGGATACATGTCAGTGCGGATATTTTTCCTGATTAATAGGTCAAAAGCGGCTAAAAATGGGCCAGTGCTCCGTGTACTTTGTCAGTTCATTAAGTCCATAAAACATTTTGTGACAGCGATCCCACAGTAATAGCCCCGAATCATTACTATACAAGACAGCTCCTTTTCGTCCTGTTTCTACGTCATTATTCACAACATGTGGTTGATTTGCAGTCTAATATTACTAATAATGCTTATAATGTTTTATTTCTTTGTGAGCTCTTTGCGATACGCATCAGAAGCATTGAAGTGCTGCATGAACTTCTGTCAGTCACGGGAATTTGATTTCCCCACGTGGGTCCTGATGATCCGCTGACGATGCAGGATGACAGTCACCAAAGCTGTCCAATCAACGAGTTACCTGTCAGTCTGTACAAGATTGAGATGGATTTCTAGCCTGAATAAAATAAATGATATTGTTACTTGAAAATGTGGTTTAAAAAAGCAGGGCGTCTATTATATTTTAGGTATAGACATGTATGTATTGTTCGCTACATCAGATATTATTTTTGTCTCCTAGAGAGGGTGTTTCATTATGAATTTTTGTGTGTAACCTTATTGTTGCTATATTAGTGTGTGTCTCCACATTTGCTTATAGGGAGTCTTTTAGAGTTAGCCATAAAAATGTTTCCTTAGCTCAGTTTAACCTCCAGGAGTTTCTGAAGGCTTATGTAGAGTGTGTTGCTAACTCACTACATTTAGGCAATGGTGTTTGAATGAAGGAGAGAGACAGACAAGACAGACAGGCTATGACTAGCCTAGCAAGCTGATCCTTGCACATTAGCATCTGTAGTATCCACTTGCCACTTGTTTTGGTACTGCCTGGTATGTGATAGCTTTACAACATTGTGAAGGATTAGGTATCGTTAGCTAACGCTGGTCACTCGCCAAGAAACCTGCCTTTCTCCTCACACCTCAGTTTCTAGCCACTAGCCCTTATTTTTCCACTGGGCAGATTTGTGGCCTATCATATACATGTGCATTTTAAACCTCATTAACACTGTGGCAGTAGCTCCATGTACCAGGATGCAATGTAGCTGAGCTAGCACTGCAGTATAAATTTTCACAAAAAGCTACGTATAAAAACTGTTGGCATCCAACCTACTTCTCTTGTTATTTAGTTGGCTTAAAATGAGCCAAACGTTGGCTTAAAATGAGCCAAACGTTCACACAGTTTCTTTTGACCCTGAATAGTACAACATTAGCACAACATCGCCCCAGCCTGAGGAAGTACCACCCTACCAATTGATGGACAAATCATTATTAAAAAAATGGTAATATGGTAACATAAATGGAGTAATAACCTGATACTAAAGAGGTAACATAGGTTGATGTTTTCACAATATTAGAGGCCTTCAATCTTCAAAATCACATTAAACTCTTGGAAGTCAAAATTTGTAACTACCATAGTATAATCCCGAAATCTATCCTTCCTTATGTTCCAAACATGCCCTTTTGTTTCAAGGTAATTCAAATGATATGTTAAATGCTATGATTTGTTACCTGGAAATACCTGTGGTAGTTTCAGTGTAATCCATGAATCAGGTCTATAGTCTCTACTTCCACAATGTATTGTGTCGTATATCTGTTTTAAGAACTGCACACATATTGGTTGTTTGAAATCTTGCTGTTTAGTGGTAGTACAGTAATATAGTGAAGTATCTGATGGCAAAATAGTTTTGTGAAGAATATTTGCGTGCTTAGCTACTGGTATCTGTTGGCCACATGTTAATAAACACCTTTGCTGTAGCAGAAGTAATCAGACACTGCTGAGTCTCATTCTACACAGGCCTGGTGATATACACCATAGACCTAATTATCTGAATATAGTCCCAGGGCTTCTTAGTTGGTTCTTGTTCCCTTCATCTGCTCTGTGGAAACAACAAAAACACTTGGGATTGTAGTGTGCTTTTAACAGGTACAATGAGTAACATTTGGCCTGAATGTTGATTTAAAACATTCAAAAAATGAACTAACATTATCATTATTAGTAACAGTTCTGAGGTTATTTCAAAGACATCTATATATTTTGTTGCAGAGATATCTACTGAAGCTGGAATGCTAACTGGCCCCGGCCTGTTCTGTGTTGTATTAACACTTGTGCTTCAACAGGTAAAAGTCCGATAGTGTAGCTCAGGCCTCCCCCTCATAGTTTCAGCTCTTAGATGTGTGCTGGATGTTGCGAGTTCAAGTTACACAAGCTCTCTCAATTTCTTAGTAGAAAACTTTGGGGTTGTCGTTGTGCGTTGTTAATTGCCACAGTATTTTTCTTGATACTACCACTTTGAGGTACCAAAGTCAGATTTGCTTAATTCCCTGACTGAACTAGGTGCTGTGATATTGAAGTCCAACTGAAATCACAGTCAGTGAGCCTTTCAGTATTTTTGAAAGATATATCAAATATGATCATTTTCTCTCAGCCTCTTAAGGGGCGTGTCAGTGTTTGACAGCAGCTGGCAGGGAAACAGAGAGACAATGCCAAAAAGACTTGTTGCTGGCAACTGCAGCTTACAAGCCATGGGCAGGCAGTGAGCTGGTAGAAGTGGTATTGCGTAAAGAACACAAAGTCTCTTAATTGACCCAAGTGACTTTTTTACTTTTTTTATTCTTCATAGACCTGTAACACAGTATTGGGTAGAGGTATAGAGTTGGAACCTAATGGATTAGCACTGAAAGTTACCAAGAGCTCACAGGGCCCTATCACTTTGAAGTGGAAGAGGTTGGGAACAACCAAAACTTCTGTCCATCTCTGCACCTCCATATCTCTTAGCGCTGTGTGCCAAAGTGGCCAGCTGAAATCCACTCCTGAGTAAAAGCTCAACGGCCCAACTGGTGTATATTTGCTAGCACTTAAAGCCAAACAACTCTTCAGTCTGATGAGACAGGAATTAAACTCTGACCTAAATGCCAAGTGCTATGTGTGGTTTGGTGCTGCTCTTCACTGTAAAGTGCTGTGATGTCTGTGAAGATTTCAGTCATCCAGGTCATAGTTATCCAAGGAAGGTT